GATTTATTTTCATTTAAATGAAGGTATCTACTTATTTCTAATTCGTTTTTTATTTAGTTTATCAGAATAAAATTGTATTACATAGATGTTTAGTGTAATCACAAATATCAAGAAAAATTATCATTCAAATGACATAAAACAACGTTAAAACGAATACACCGATAAATTTCGCATATGAAATGACATTCCCAACATTTCTAATTGCTTCACTAGTAGTTTTACTTGAAGAAGTAGTAGCAGTAGAAGGTGTAATTTTACGAGTAGTAGTAGCGATAGCAGAAGGACTACTATATATATATGTAGAAGGTGGGGGTTTATTTTTTGATAATATTGTGGAAGTAATAATTACAGAAGGTGATGTTGATTTAACCACAATAACCGATGTTTTATTAGTAATGTTAGTAATGGTGATTTCTTCGCTAGTAATAAAATTTGGAACTATAATTAGAATTATTATTATTGTTATTACTCCTTTAAAAAAAGAAAATTTTTGTTTTGAAATCATTTTTTTTCCTTGTTATAATTATTATAAAATGAATAATTTTTTTTGTTAGAATCTAAAATAATCGTAAAAAATTTCTTCTGCATAAATATTTTATATATATCTCAGGTATATATGTATTGTTAGTAAACTTGTATATGTGAAACCTAAACTTTTAATAGAATACAATGAGAAATGTATATGTTTTATTACTTTGAATGTTCATTATAATCCCTAATGAAGATGAAAATAAAAAAATAAAATAAGTTCTTTTATTTGATCCAATTTTTTTGTGATACGAAATCTAACCTATATTGAACCGTTTATAAATGCACTATAAGGTGAATCCCATATACTAAAATAAATGCATTCCCTCTATAAATGCCCTAATGCCTCCGGGGGTGAATTTATAGAGGGTTCACTGTGCGAAGTTAACGAAATTAAGCATGTTTCAATAATAATAATAGAAAAAAAAAATAATTACGTTACCTCATTTTTATTATTTTGGACAATAAATCTTTTTGCCAATGACGTAAAAATATGTAATTTAGTTTTATGTTATTTTAAATAAGAACAATTTATAACAAATTAGAATAATAAGAATGATTATTCATCCGTAGCAAAATTATTGGGTAGTAGGTCATTGGACATCCTATTGTCATCAATTCTATATAAAAAAGTATTTTTTTGTAATTCAACGTGCCAAGATAATAATAGTAAAGGAAATTCTAGAAATAGCAAAGCAGAGATATTCAGGAGTAAGAAATGTTATTTTTAAATTCATCTCCTAACTATTTTTACAATATTATTTTTGATTACTTTTATTTTTTTAGATGATTCGCCTTGATCATCTTGGTTTTCAATTTTCATTATATAGACCTTTACTAACAGAAATTTGTTTTGCTTTGCTGTTGTTGTTGTCTTTGGATCTTCCACATTTCTTGGATGATTGTTGTTGCTGTTTCTGTTGCACAGGTCTTCTTGGTAATCTTGGTAATGGTATTCTTTGTTATTGTTGAAGTTACTAGAGTTGTTGAGCTATATTTAACTCAGAAGTAGAAGCTTTATAAATATCATCCGCCCATTTCTTTGCAGCTGGAATTGAGAGTTTCAAGCATTCGAAGGGGTTGTAAATATTCTTTCTTCTGTAAAGAAGGCTCTCCAGACATTTAAAATGGTGTGACTCTGACATTCTGACATCTTCACAACTTTTCAATACGTGAATTAAAATTTTTTTTTTTTCGGGGAGAATTTTTTTTAAAAACGCGTAAATACGCGTAAACATTGTTAATTCGTTGCGTTGCACATCTGACGCGTGATTCTAAAATTAATTAAATATCACGTGGATCATCATCATTTAATTGACAACTCAATTTCTTGACTTTAATCAAAGCCCAATATAATATTACCAACACAAGTTAGACAATATAATAATTACTAACACAATGGGAATCGATGATTCTAAATATTTTAAATACATAATTCTGATGATATTGGTTTTGGTAAATTAGTTAGTTATAACACATATATTCTTTTAATTTGAAGAAATTTTTTTGAATTAATTTTTTATTTAAATAATATTTTTTCAAAAATAATAGTTTTCAAATAATAATAATAATAGTAATAGTTTTCAAAAATAATATTTCTCAAAATAATAATATTATTAATAGGGGAGAAATCAATAATGATTTCCGTTTCTAACTACAAAATAATATCTACTACTACTGTAATATAATAATATAATATAATATAATAAAAGTTGATCATCAAAGAAAAAAAAAGTCATGTGTATATACTTCACCAATAATATAATAATAAAAATAATTGTAGAATAATAACATAATAATATATATATAATAATAATAATATAATAATAGCAAATATAATAAATGTCCATTTATACTTTTTGTTGTTATCATACATCTAAAATAAGTATATACTGTATAAAAAATATAGATACAAAAGGCATATTATTATATCCTTTTTTAATGTACAAATACAAAATATATAATAATAATAATAAAAGTCCCAAAGAAAATAATCAAATAAAAAAAAAGGAATGAAAAATTAAGAGTCAATTAAAAGGTAAATTTAAATAAAATGTGGTTGTGATGCACCAGATTCATATTCTGTTAAATCAGTTTCTAATTCTTTAATTCTATTATTTTGTTGTTCAATCCATTCTGTCATGGTATTAATTTGTGCATTTTTATCGGAACGTTCTTCATTGACTTTATCCTGTATATATATATTTATATTTAGAAAAATATTTATTTAGTATTTCACCAAATAAATAAATGATTGATTGATATATAATTACCTTCATTATAGATATTTCATGTTGTAATTTCTGATTTTCTTGTTCCGTTCGCGATTTTGCATTTTCTGATTCAGTTAATTTCTCTTTCATGAGTTTCAAAGATTGATATAATCGTAACGATTTACTATCGGATAATTGTATCTAATAATAAAGTTGATAAAATTGATAAAATTGATAAAATTGATGAAATAAGTTCCATTTATATGAAGATAAAAGAAAATATACCATTTCTTGTAATTGTGCTATCTTTGCTTCATAATGTTTTTTGATAAGCTGTTCTCGATTGGCGGCATCTTCGGATTTAGCAGACCGCTGTTCCGTAACAAAAAAAAAAATTAAAAAAATTAAAATTAATTACAATAAAATAAATTTATTTATCAAAAATTAAAAAAAAACACATTTATTGAAAATAATAATAATAAATAATAATAAATCAAAATACCCCTATATTATGATCCAATGAAATACCATTACGAAATACGGATGTTTGTGTACCAACAGTTGATAAAAGCGAAAGTTCTTTAGTCGATTGACCAGATGATTCAATATTAGTACTTTTAACCGTACCAATGGGATAAACAAATATTCCAGACTAAAAAATTAATTAATTTAAAAATGAATTATTAGAATTATTATTATTATTATTATTATATTAGTCATAATATGTATATTTATTTATTTACTAACTTCATTATCGTCATCATCATCACTTTCTTGTAAGTCATCATATGAATTATCATCATCTTGCGTCGTTGTTGTAGTTGTCGATGTTGTTGATATTTGTTCTTGATGAGAATTATTTTGTTCATCTTTTGTAATAATATCAAATCGTTCTCCTTCATCCAATATTTTATTATTATTATTAATATTATTATTAATATTATTATTGAATCCATTCACTAATAACGGCGGATCATCATCATTATCAAAACATTCCTCCATTTTTGTAAAGGCTGATACATGTGTAAACGTTTCATCATTACCGGTTGTCGATCTTGATGTTGATCTTGATGTTGTTGTAGTTTCGTTATTAAGAATATCACTACTACCACCACTTTTTCCCACAAGGCTATTGGCTGTTGCCTGTAAATAAAATATTAAGATTAAGATTAAAATAATATTGATAAATCATAAATGAATAATGTTTTGTTTATTATGTATAATTTACCTTTTGATTTTCTAATTCTTCCTTTAATCGAATAATTTCCTTTTCTAATGTCTCTACTTTAGTCGAATCATTTTCATTTGCTTTAATAAGTTTTTCTTTCTCCGCTATCAATTCGGATATTCGATCTTTAAAAATAATTAAAATAATAATTTTTGAATTAAAAATAAAAATAATGATTCAGTAGTTTATAAAATAGTAATTTTTTATAAATTTAAATTTAAATTTTTGACATACTTTGAGCATTTGATAAATTTATAGCCAACTTTTGTAAATTTTGGTGCCAAACTTGACTCGCATTTTTAACCTTTAAACCTAATTCATATGATCCAGACTGAAAATAATATCCAAAATTAGGATTAAATTAAAAAAAAAATGATAATTAACTTTTTTTTTTTTTCAACTTACATTTTCTTTTAATGAATTCAAATATTCTCTGGCACTTGATTGTAAATGTCTGAAACTTTCGATAAGTTCATTCGATTCAGGATCAATTTTATCTTTCAATGCCTATTGATTTATAAATTGTAAGGGAGAGATATATTTAATTACTATTATGAAATATCTTATGAAATATATAATAATTAAAGTGACATACATTAAATTGATCATTTTGATTTTCACCGAGACCCAAGTTTATTGATAATGTTTCTCTAAGTGCATCTATTTCGTTACGTAACACATCATCACCTTCTTTCAATTTCTGTTCGTGTTGTTCTATAAGATTTTGTGTACTACAAGAAATAAAAATAAATAAAAAATGAAGAATAAATAAAAATAAAATAAGAAATAATAAAAATAACAATTTAAATAAAAAATAATAAATTAAAATAAATACCTTCGAAGTTCTTCTCGTGTTTCCACAAGTTCATTATCAAGTTCATTTTTTTCTTGATTTATTGTACGCAATGCTTCTTCACTAGCCTGATGTGATCTTGTCAATTCCTCCTAATAAAAACAAAAAACAAAAAAAAAAAAAAATTAAATTAAATCATATTAATAATTTTTAATACTAATACTTTTTTAAAATTTAATTACCTGAAGTTCTCCTGTCTTTTTCTCTAAATCTGCTATCTTTGCTTTAAGATCCGCCACATGTTGAGCGTATACGCCATTGACTTCATAAAGTTCTTTATGTAACTTTTCTATAATGTTATTATTATTATTATTATTATTATTATTTAATTAATTATTTACAAAAATAAATTCATTTTTTATTTTTTATTTTTTACCATTTTCTTCTATTTTCCTTGTTAACTCTACACTGGTAACTTCTAAAGTAACTTTTGACTTTTCAAGTGCTTTCTTCGATGAACCAACTCCAACTAACCAACTAGGATTTAATCTCTATTATTATTTATTATTTATTATTTATTATTATTGTTATTATTATTGTTATAATGATTATTGTTGTTGTTATTATTATTATTATTGTTGTTGTTATCGTCGTCGTTGTAATAATAGTATAAAAAGATAAGAAAAACTTGTTAAGCAATCAATTACAAGTCATAATTATAATTACAATAGAAATTAATAATATATCATATATTTACCGCAGCACCCGAATCTTGTAGACATTCGATACGTTTTGTTAATCGTTGATTGTGAAAAGTCAAAAGATCTAATTGTTGAATTGACTAAAAATGATTCAATGTGTAAATTAGGATTCGATTGTAAATAATTCAATAAATTGTTATTATTATATTATTATTATTATTATTATTATTATTTAAATTAAAACTCACAGATCGTAATTCTCTTTCTTTTGTTTTACATTCATCTTGTAATGCAACATTGGTTGCTTGTTCCTAATATAATGATGATAAATAATAATTTTTAATTAATTTCATTCATTTTATGATTTTACTTTTACAAAAATAATCAAACTCATTAAATTTATTCAAATTCATTTATATCTAACCTTAATAACAGCTTTCTTAAGGACGGAATGTTGTGCTTTTATCCTAATAATATTTAATTATAATTATAATAATAATAATGATAATAATAATAATAATAATAATAATAATAATAATAATAATAATATATTAGTAATAATAATAATAATGATAAAATATTAATTATAATAATAATAATAATAATATATTAATTGTTAATAATAATAATAATAATAATAATAATCATCATCATCATCCTAATTATAATTATAATCATGATTAACAATTAACAATTAATAATTAAGATATTTCATACCTTGAGAATTCTTGAAATAATTTTTGATATTTTTCTGCTAATTCTTCAGCTGAAGTGGCTCCGACTATTAAAAAATCGATATGATATTTACGAAAAGCAAAGGGAGAGAGAGACTATCAAGTAAGTATAAATGATAATAATAATAATAATGATAATGATGATGATGATGATAGTAATAATAATAATAATAATAATAATAAACAAAACACAAAGATAATGATGATTATTATTACATTATTATTGTTATTATTATTAAATACCTGAAGATTGTAACGACACAGAAGCAGAATGTCTACCGTCACTCATGATTTGAATTAAATTTTGATTTATATTATTTATTTTAAAGTTCTTTTAGAAAAGGAAAGAGAAGAGAAGAGAAGAGAAGAGAAGAGAAAATAGGAAGAGAAAAAAGTTTAAAAACGAAAAACTGCGCTCGCACGGTTCCAATTAACTTTTTCATAAAATCATCAGATGCTGATCAACGTTCACATGATCTGCGCTTGTGACGGATTGGTTTGAAACCCTGCAGAAATTTTTTTTAAAAGTGTGGAGAGAAATAATAATAGAAATAATAATGATAATAATAAAATAATGGATATTATTATTATGTTCTATATTATAATATATATATATATTATATATATATATTATGTTATCATATTATTATTATTTTATACAATAGCCCAAAGTTTTTTGCGGAACCCACACAAAGAAACCAAATATATTCTTTCCACTTTCAGCCAATCCTTCAAACAAAGGAAAAAATCTTTTTTGATTTTCACAAGCTTCACTCAACAATACTTTTTTGAATTTATTATTGGATTATTTGAGCATTATTCGAGTATTTTTTTGGACCAATTCCTTAAGCATTGTGATATATTATTTTGAGTATTTATTATTTTTTTTTTAGTTTAGATTTTTGATGACCAATTAATCTTACAGAGTGAGGATAGTGGATAGTGAACAGTGGACAGCGGGCAGCGGATAGTGAATAGAGGTGTGAAAATAGCGAAGATAATAATAAAATAATAATAAAATAATAATAAAATAATCATAAAATAATCATAAAATAATCATAAAATAATAATAAAATAATAATAAAATAGCGAAGACAAAAGATCTAAGAAGAATAAAAAAAAATGACAAAAACAATTACAAACGAACATTTCATTCAACTTTTCATACATTCTTTAATTCATACATTCTTTAATTCATACATTCTTTAATTCATTCATTCTTTAATTCATTCATTCTTTAATTCTTTAATTCTTTCATTTGACTTTCAGTCAACTAAGAGTGGAATAATCTGTAATAATTGTAAAATGCTTTAACATACCTACATAACAACAACATCAACAACAAAAAAAAAAGAAAAAAGACAATAGTGCATTTTAATGGGATTGTGTTGTTTTTTTTCTTTTCTTTTTTGACTATTGTTTGGCGATAAAACACGAATTTTTGTGTAACGCTTTTTTCAGCTGTTTGCAGACGCCAATCACTTCATTAAAAAGGAAAATATCTACCACAGAATGTTTAGAATGTCTTTCGGTGTAACGTGTTCGGAGGATTTCGAAAATGTCAAAGGCTTTTCTAACCGTAGAAAAAATAAAAATAAAAATAAATGATTTGATTAAAAAAAAAAAAAAGAAAACAATTAGAAATTTAATTGTTCTTTCAAAAATTATGTGTATCGTTTATTTCATCATTGTTTAAAAGAGTTATAAAGTTTAGCGAACGTTACAACAATATTAAACAATATTACAAGCGACGGTTATATGACAAGAAATTTATTACAAGTAATTACAAAGAAATTTCGGTAAATTACAGGTAATTTAACAACAAATAACAACACATTATTAAACGGTTAAAAAAAATAAAAAAGAGTATAAAGAATGATCTGGTAACCTGATCGTAGCACGAGGTAAATGCGATAAATTCGATAAATGCGATACATGTGGGGTGGATTTAAAAAAAAAAACGTGGTTATAAAAATCATGTTAAAATCATCTCGTAATCATGTGCCTTTGAAGTTCGGGAAATTTTTTCTTCTCACCCCTATACTTGTCACACAGAATTTCACCGTTTGGGTTAGAAAACTCTATTTGTCACATAATTTTTTTCACTGGTAATCACATGAAAGCAACTTTACTCGAGTAAAAATAGGGGGTTTCAGTTCACCCAGGGTGAGGAATATGTATATTTCATACTTCTTAATTTATTTTTTATTATGGGGGAGAGGTTCCCGATCATTCTAAACATTTTTTGACATTCTGATCGAGGAAATTTTTTTTTCCTTAAGGGTACGAAAAGAAAAGGAAAATGAAAGGAAATGAATACCTTAAATTGGCATTCATTCATAAAGATAAGAAGAAGAAGAAGAATAATAATAATAATAATTTAAAATAAATAATAAATAATAATCAAAGATAACAGATATAAATAATAATGAATAAAATCAATAATAATAATAATCGTGTAATATTTTGTGTTTCTTTCCACGAGTTTCACACCTTTCATTAATTAATAAATCGATTAGGTACCACGAGTTATAAAATTATCCAATCATTACCTTCTTTTTTACATCAAAGAGATTTTCGAAATTACTACAAATGGTACACAAATAGCATCAAAAAATGATGATGATGATGATGATGAGAGATGTTTAATATTATATTATAGAGAAGCGTTTACACAATACCAATAAAATTTCTTTAACACAACAATTATTGATACAATATTGATACAAAATATTGTGTTGTACTGCAGACTTAAAAAAATAAAAAATTAAACTTTCCTTGTTTCCTAAAACTTTTTTCTCGTCCCCTTCATTGTCGAAAGAAAAAATTTACTTCATTCCTTTTTCCTTCCCTCTTTGTTCACGCAAAAAAAAAATTAAATTAATTATATATTTCCTCTTTTCGTTTTTTCTCTTTTTTTTTTTGTAAATTTTCTTTCGTTTAAAAAGTTTTAAGTGAAAAGGTTAGATCTAAACTTTAGCTTCATCCAATAACAATGCAAGCCATCAAATGTGTCGTGGTTGGTGACGGGTGAGTAATAGTAATTAATATTAATAAAAGTGATAGTAACTAAATGGGTACCATCATCTTTGAAAGATTGCATTAATAATTAAACTATATTCTTGAGAAAGGGATAGGGTCAGGGTCACCTGATAAAATAAATATATTGACTTAATAGTAGTAATTTAAAAAATAATAGAAGTAAAATGAATAATGGGTGGTTCTATTTATAATTTATACCGATACGAAAAAGAAAATAAGTAAAAATTAAAAAATTTTAGAAATCAAAAATGTTAGAAATAAAAATATAAATAAATAATAATAATAATAATGACAATTAATTTATTTGGAAAGATTTGGATAGATGAATATTAATTTTATATATTGGACTCTTTGATCATGATTGATACGCATTTATGACATTTATGAAATTTTTTTTTTCAATGACATAATTTTATCAACTTCCCAAAGAATTGAATTAATTAATGTTTCATTTTGTTTATTATTATTCATTATCCATTATTTATTATTATTATACATTATTATTTATTATATTCTTCTTTATAATTATTTATTATTCATCATTCTTAGTGCCGTCGGTAAGACTTGTCTCTTGATTAGTTATACCACTAATGCATTTCCCGGGGAATACATTCCAACAGTGTAAGTATAAACTTTTTTTATGTAAACTTTAATCTTAATATTTTATTGGATCGATGACGTAAATTATATATATTTATTATTATTATTAGTTTTGACAATTATTCTGCGAATGTAATGGTTGATGGAAAACCAATTAATCTTGGTCTCTGGGATACCGCTGGTCAAGAAGATTATGATCGTTTACGTCCTCTTTCATATCCTCAAACGGACGTTTTCTTAATCTGTTTCTCTTTAGTTAGTCCTCCTTCTTTCGAAAACGTTCGGGGCAAGGTAATTAAATTTTATACATATAAATTATATTTATATTTATTTGCTTATTTATTCACATGTTTATTGATTTATTTATTGATTCATTTGTTTAAACTTGCTTGCTGCTTGCTTACTTTATGTAGTGGTATCCTGAAATCACTCATCATGCACCAAATATTCCAATCATTCTTGTTGGAACAAAACTCGATCTTCGTGAAGATAAAGAGACCATCATTAAACTTCGTCAAAAAGCTCAACAACCTGTTACATATCCTCAAGGTTTACAAATGGCCAAAGATGTTTCCGCCGTAAGATATCTCGAATGTTCTGCCCTTACTCAAAAAGGATTAAAGAACGTATTTGATGAAGCCATCCGTGCTGTCCTTTGTCCTGCACCCGTACCAAAACGTAAGAGGCAATGTGTAATTTTATAGATAGAGAAGAAAGGAAGTAAGAAAGATGATGAGAATTAAAATAAAGAAGATAAAAGATTTATAGATTATATAAAAGATTATGAGATTTATAAAATGAGAAGTATAATAAATGAAGAACGAACGAAGGTTTGCATCACAATAACAACAACAACAACACAACAACAACAATAACAATAACAACAATAATAATAATAACAACTACAATAAGATAATAATGATGATGTCTTTCATTTAAATTTACCTTTTTTTTTTCCTTTTTTTTTCAATTATTATTATTTCTCAATTATTTCTCAGTTGCTTTTTTTTTCTCTTTACTTTTTTTATTTTCTTTGAATATTTCTCTTCTCTACATATATTTTTTATATTCTTTTTTTTTGTCTATACAGTTTATTTTTGATTTTTTTTTGGCATCGGGTTTTCGCATTTCGGTGATTTTGATTTATTATTATCATTAAATAATAATAATTATTATTAGCATCATCATTATTATATTACATAACATTCATATTGTGAGGTCATCGATAACTTAATATCATTCAGTTTTAACGTAATTAATATATCGTATATACTGTAGTTTATATATGAATATATATGTGTGTATGGTATGAAATAGTATGAAATAGTATGAAATAGTTTTAAAATAGTTTGAAATAGTTTAATTAACAGAACATCATCATCATTCAGAATAATCAGAATAACAAGAAAATATTTACTTTAGAATAAAGGAAAGTAAAAAAAAAAAAAAAAAAAAAAAAAAAAAAATATATATATATATTTACAATAATTAATGTTATAATCATTAATTTATTATTTATTTCCTATTATTATTTGATAAAGTTCGGATGTCTCACCTCACTACTTACTACTATTATTATATTTTTATTATTATATGTTCATTATTGTTGTTATTCTTGTTATTATTCAATTTTTTTTTTAAATTATTTTTTTTTATTTTTATTATATTATCATCATTTCATCAAAATATCAAAGATCAAAATACCAAAATGCAAAAATCATGTGTAATATTCTTATTTGTAATTGTATTAAATTTTTTTCACTACTATTATTATATATTTTTTTAAAAAGAAAAAAAAATTTATTTATTTATTTTATTTTTTCATTTATTTCAATTATTTCATTTATTTTATTTTATTTTTATTTATTGTTATTTTTTTCATTTTATGAAACAAATCATAAGTAGGATAGATATATATCTATCTCTCTTTCTCTCAGTCTCACAATATGACAAATTTTTTTTGATTGTTCTTTTTTTAAATAAAAGTAAATAAAATTAAGATTAAGAAAAATTAAAAATATGCTTTTTTTTTATTTCCGTTCTTTCCTGTTGAATGAAGAATGAATCTGTAATATTCATTTGTTTATTCATTACTTCTTGATGGTTTATCATCTAGAAACAAAATAAATTACCTTTGTCAAGATGACCATCTGGATATACTTTGTTATTATATATATTAATACTTGACTTGATTAATACATAAAAGGTTTAAACATGTAAAACAAATCATGTGATTTATTTAAAAAAGTTATTATTATAATCCAACTGAACTTTATTAAAATATGTATGATGCAATATGTAATCTTTAATAAGTTAGTTGAACTGTAATATTTAAAAAAAAAAAAAAAAAAAAATCGGAGATTCTTTTTTTAAATGTACAACCAAAATTTGAAATAAAATGAAAAATAAAAAGAGAAGGATTAAAGAAATTGAATGAAATTTTGTTTGGACTGAACATATGTGCATGTGTGGATATGTATGAATGTGTGATGAATGTATGATTTAAAAAAATGTATGATTAAAAATGTTGTTGTTGGTAGGATTGAATGTGAGATGAATGCGAGTGGGCATAAAGGACAGAGAAAATATGTCGTATCATTTTGCCATGACGTACATGAGTTTGTTGGTGGGATTTTTAAATTTTTGTGGTTTTGTTTTTTTTTTTTTTTTTTTGATTGATTGATTGATTGATGAATGAATAAAGAAACAAAAAAAATCACGACAAATCAAATCGACTTTTGAAAATTTCAAAATTCTTTGGTAAGCACATTTGAAATGGATTATGTAACAATCGATTATTAATGATTAAAAATGAAAATTCAATATTCTATAATTACTATTATTATTGCATTACTTTGTTTTATTAATTAAGATTAATGAAAAGAGAATGAATGAAATGATGAATGAACGATTAATGAAAAAATTAAAGATTAATAATAATAATAATAATAATAATAATAATAATATAATAATAATGTTAATAAAAAAGTTAGCGAAATATTAATTACAGCATTACTTAGCATTACTTGCAGCAACATTTGAGTATATACTCGGGACAAAGTACAATTTTACGTGTTGACTATATTGAAGTTAATTGAATGATATTATATATTATATTATTATTTTGAATTATTTATTTATTAATTTATTTATTTATTCTTAGTTATTACCTATTGTCACAAAACTTCTTTATTATTAAAAAAGGTTTTTAATCACGAGGAAAATACTGTAAAATAAAGAAAAATACTTAAAAGAAAAAATAAAAAAAGCTTTTATTTATTCATTAATTTATTTATTTATTATTTAAATAATTATTAAAATAATTATTAAAATAAAGTTTAGCATAATAATAATAATAATGATGAAAATAATAAAAATAATAATAATTGATAATGATATAAGAGATGCCGAAAAGAAGAAGAATAATAAGGTGGAATATAAAAGTATATATAAAGTATACATAAAAGTATATGCATATAAAGTATATAAAAGTATAGAATGCACATGAAAAGTATATAAAAGTATAGAATGTATAATAATAATAACAAATATATAGCATATATTTAGTAGACTCTATACTGTTGAGTATATGTGTGTACAATGTTTACATATTGTATATACATGTCAGAATAATATATTATGATGTATATGAAATGATAAATATAAAAATAAAAAATAATAATAATAATAGTAAATAATAAATAAGATTTAAGTGGATGTGTGATAACTGATTACGTCTTCTGATAAAAGTTTACATAATAAACGAAATAGTAAAAAGAATGAAATCCCAATTTGTGTGAATTAAAAAAAAAAAAAAAATTAAAACATGTGAAAAAATGATAAAAATAATTAACGAAATGATTGTTTTTTGGGGGGGTGATATTACGATAATGAGTTTTTTTTTTTTTTGACCATGTCAAGGTAATTATTAAGATTATTATTTTTAATGATTATTTTTTTTTTTGTAACGGTTTTTTTTTTAATGTGATTATTTAATTTATTTTTATTCTAATACAAAAATAGATTTATTAAATTATGTGGTTAATTCATATTAGCTATAGTCATTTATAGTTTAAACAAATAATTTACCACTTCAAGTAATAATCTTCATTTACATTACAATAAAAATTTTTAATACAACTTTAAAATTAATTACTTAAAAATTTTAAGCGTACATGACGTAAAATATTAAAAATAAGTAAAAAATAATTTGTGCTAATATAAATCTTTAACCATTAACAGTTAGTATTTCAATCAAGCTTTAGCCACCTCCTCTTTTCTTCAGCCACCTCCACCTGTCACCTCTCTTTTGTGAGAAGTTAATATTACTATAAAATTACTATTTTTAATCATTAAAATTAGCGTTCAATCAATTATTATTATTGTTATTATTATTATTATTGTTGTTGTATATTGTTATTATTATTCTTCTTATTATTCTTCTTCTTTTTCTTATAATATAATTATGATTAATATTCATTATTTATTTTGACGGAAAATTTTTTATTTGTGAATAAAAACATCAACAAAAATACAAGGATAAATACAAAAAAAAAAAAAAAATACAGATTAAGTTGTGTATCGCTTTTTTACTTTGTCGTTATTATTTTCTGTTGCTGTTATTTCTGTTTGCTGCTGTTCTTGTTGTATTTCTGCTGTCATGTTGTAATGTTGTTGCTGTTGTCGCTGTTATGTTTTCGTGTTGTCATATTACTAATGTAATTATTGATGTTGTATCTCGGATAAATTATTACTTGCAGCTTATCAATTAGAAATGAGTTTGTTATTAGTAATAATGTTCAAATTTAAACTAAATTAAGTTTGAATGTATTAAATTTGAATTAGTTGATGAAATCAATTATATCCAAAATAATAATCTTAATAATAAAATTATATCAAGAAAATGGTTAATACTAATAATAATAGGAATAATAATGATGGTGATGATATGATGATCAACGGAAATTAATTACAAGAAAGTAATCGGTAATTATTTTTTTTTTTTTTTAAATTATTTTTCCTAATCTGTTTTACTTTAATGCTCTAGATTAGATTTATGATCACCGGATTTTTTTAAGCTGTAGATTTTATGCTCTTGTACAATTTACTTATTTATACCACTCATACCCATTATACAATTTTTTTTGACTTTTTGGTATTTCATAATTTTTTTATTATTATTATTAATATGAATGTTGTTTTTAACAGATGTAACAATTATTAAATGAATTTACAGAATTGTTTAATAATATTAAAATTTAAAATTTAAAATGAATTATTAATTAATTAATATTAAATCAAAGATACTAATAATAAATTCTCCAAATTTGATTAGAAAAAAAAGTTTTTATCTCGATAATGTAACAGATTATTCAATTTATGACCTAGTAAATATAATAATTATGTAGTAACAACAATAATATTATGTAGTTATAAGGTAAGAATGCCAAGATATTTCAATATTATTTACATTGTTATAACATTTTATTATTTTCATTTTATTTCCAACAACAACGCACGCGATTATTATTATTATTATTATTATTATTGAAGTATTGGTGTGTGTGCGTGTATGTGTGGATTTGTTTATTCCAGTAAAAAATTTTTTTTATTACATTATCAGAACACAAATGATTACGTAAAGTATGTGTGAACCCCCAATATTATACTTATTTTACTTTATTATTTATTTATTTGATTCTTTATTTATTTATTTATTTATTTGGTTTATTTGATTTATTTATTTTATTATTATTATTTTTTTATCGTCTCTTTTT